TATGATTCTATGATTCTATGATTCTATTAAATTTTCCTTTGCTTCAGTATTTTTATATTTTTATTGTCAAAGTGAGAGCAAAAAGCAATTACTAGGGCAATCTCTGTACAGCAATCTAATTGCAGCCTGTAGAGACACTCCCAAGCTAGCTTCAGCCAAGTCATAAGAAGCAAAATGATGGCGCAGGTCTGAGCCATCAGCAATTATTTTCTTCAAGCACCTCCATATCTTGTAATTCACGTCCCCCACGCTTGTACCAGCAGACACGGTGCCACAGCACCCTGAGTGCTGTGAGCAGTAGTGCAGCTGCGCTGCAGTTCACATTCAACCTGAGAAACTTCTTGTGTTTAATACTGAAATCAGCCTCTCCCAACCATTTAACCTCCTCTCCCCTAACTGCCTCCCAAAGGAAATAAAGAAAAATCCATTTAGAGGAATCATGATGTCACCTGAAATACACATGTTCCAATCTGTATTTTCTAGTAAGAAAATAAAATATTTTTTGCATTTCCCTTCTCCTTTAATTAAGAGAAAGCATCACTCCAAATAAATACAAGCACTGGACTATCCCAAATACTTTAAAAATGTCAGTAAATTGAAGAAATTTTCTGAATTTATTCCTGAAGCAGTAAGGTGAGGCAGCTTTGCAGTAAATAGAAATAACAATATTGTCCAAAAAGATTGTCCTAAAATCCTGACCCAAACAGGAATTTTCCTATTCTGTTGTCTTCTTTTTCACTTTTTGCAGATTCTCTTTTGGATCAGGTCAACATAATCATTAACTAAAATTCAAAAGCATTTCTAAGTCTTTTAAATACTCTTGGACAATCTAATATTTTATTTACTAAATGGCAATACATGATTCACGAATACTACATCTTATTCTGCACCCAAGTGAAATACAGTGTTAGCCAGCACTGTTAAAATTTACAAATGCAGTCATTTTTAAGCTAAATTCTCATTTACCTGGTTTGAGTCTTAAGAAACATCACTGAATTGAAGTACAATTGACAGGTAATTCAGTTTCTTTATTTATAAGGCAGACATTCTGTCATTTGTACGATGTTTGGCTAATGAGATGTACTGATAAGTGATGCAAACTGCACACTTTGAAAAATTACTTCTAACCATAGCATGAATTTCTCTGTGTAAGGATAATTATATAACAAGGGATGATAACTGAGTGCATCTGCTGCCTAGAAATTTGATCTCTTTACGTCTGATCTTTATAGAAAATCGAACACAAAAATCACAATGTTTCCATACATACACATTTAAAAAGTTTACTTATAATTGCTTCTTCTTACCTTTCTTAGCTTCTGCATCAGTTTTCCATAAGATACCAGAATCACCAATAAAGGCACTATAAAACAGGTGGTGAAGAATGCAATAATGTATGTATGGTCAGTATAAGCACCTGAGTACCTGTATAAAACACAAAATATGTTGTGTATGTATTACTAGCGTGTTCTTATTATTTTCTTGAAGCATTAATTTTGCTCTTCAAAGCTGTCACTAGTATTTTATTCAGAGTGCCCCTTTACAACTCTCGCCACATCACCAGATGGAGCCCTGGGCCACCTCCCTGGTTATGGGCTAGGACAGGCTCCTCCGACCATAGGCACAGTATCAGAGAACTGCCAGACAGTTCAGGTGGGAAGGGACATATAGTCCAACCTCCTGCTCCAAGTGGAGTCAGCTATGGGGTCAGACCAGGTTGTTCAGGGCTTTGGCCAGTCCTCTGAAAAATGTGTCTCTTTGTCCTCTTTGAATCCTGACAAAAGGCACAAGGTATAGCATGGTTATTTTCATTAGAGATGGAAGCTCCTCCCTTCAGAATTTTTTTTCTTTAAATCTGTTTGTGGCAAATTTTGCTCGGTTTTGTTACAACTTTCTTTACATCCATTTTTGCAGAGATGTACATCATCTTTAAACCTTTCCTTTAAATTCCTGCCCCTGAGACATCCTGAGCTGCAAGTTTCATTTCTTTACCATACTCAAGAGTGGCCTTACCAGTTAGGCTCACAAGTAGTTCCAATCTTACTGGTGGTGTAACTGCTCCAACCCATTGTTGGTGGAATGGTCCACACGAAGGAAAAAGTCCACACAAAGGCAATACCTAGGGCTGCATGCTTCCCCCTCAAGCGCATATTTCCCAGTGGGCGGCAGATCACAATGTACCGCTCAAAAGCCAACAGAGCAAGAGACCAGAGAGCAACAATACCTATAGTAAGAAAACACAGTCAGCATTAAAAATTGGGTAAATTAACTGAAAAGCAAACACTATCCCACATGACAGAACTGTTTAGGTTGGAAGGCATTTCTGGAGGTCATCTAGTTCAACACCCCCCAGCACTGAAGCACAGTCCATACAGCAGGTTATCCAGGACCAAGTCCAGTTGAGTTTTGAACTTCTCCACAGATGGAGACTCCACAACCACTCTGGGCAACTTGTTCCAGTGTCTGACCACCCACCACAACAAGCACCTTTTCCATCAAGCCAAGTTATGAAAGGATGTGCAATTTATGTGCATTATTCTAATCTTTATTAAGAGCACGAGAGTTTTATATTTGTCTAGGTTGTCCATCTACAGTATAATTACTACAAAAACAAGCATCTAATGGGGCCGTTTAAATGACAAGTACTTCTTTTTTCATTCAGTTCTATTCTGAAAAGCTGCAAATTATGTGTAGCATCCAAATTAACAAATTAAGATGTATCTTCAAAATGCTGTCTTTGCAAGTAATGTCCTATTTCCGACTGTCATAAAACTCTAACCTACAGAAAGCTGCCCACAACATCAATTTGTCAGTTTATTGGGCACATATCACCTGGCTGGCCACCAAAATCTTGAAATAGGCTGATCTTTTTCCATGGGACATGGCTTACATGCCACAAACTGATTTAGTAGCATTTTCCCTCACTGACATTCCCTCTGTGTAGCTTGACCAGGCTGAGAGCAACTGTGGGACTCCTTTTCATGCTGAGGATGAACCATGTGTTAGATTTAGGGCAGCGACAAGAGTCAGACAGCTGTGTTTACTAAGCAGCATCAGGAACAGGCAGGCAGGAATTAATGTCTATCTCAAGTAAGTAGGTGTCCCATTTTAAACTAATTTCCCATTTATTCTGCAGAGGTGTACTTACACAGGGAGCTATGTGATCAGGATTTTCCCTTTTACAGCACTTCTAATACTTTTTGTGTAACTAGTAAAACAAAGCCAAGAAAAAGAATCACAAAAAGATGTAGGTGAGCGGAGTGACTGTTACAGGTGTGTCAGCGTTCTGCAGAACCACTGGAGGGTAGCTAACATAAGGTGTTCTCATGCCCTCATATTTTACACAGTTTAAAAGCAGCCACTCACTCTTTTTCTCTCTCTCTTATTTATCCATATATGCACACACCTAAATACAAACATTAAAAATAGCTACACATAGTGAATTTCTTCCTGACATTGTTTTACCAAAAATCCCACAACGCTGTTATTCTATTAGCAAGCTTTTTCTCATTATATTAAACATGATCAATGAACAGTACACACGCGACAAGCCACTGATGTATGACAGAGATAGTGACATATACTATTCACTCACACATGCGATCCACTAAAGAATATATGTAACTGAGGAAACAACCAGTGAGTTCAAAGGCATGCAAGGTCAGTGACTTTGGAAACTGCAGAATAGCTAGTAGAATACTACAATTGAAGGAAGCTGAAAGAAAAGAACACACAACTACAAACAAAATCAAGCTTACCAAAAAATGTGACAGCAAATCCTTCCAGCACACAAGCCCAATATCCCATATAAAAATAACCTTTTAGATTTGTTAAAAAGCTTATGGTGCCACCAGTCAGTGAGACCAGGAAATCAGCCACAGACAAATTGACTATAACATAATTGACAGGTTGTCTCAATTGCTTGAACTTAAAAGTCACCAGGATTACAGCCAGGTTCTCAGCAAGTGACAGGGAGGTCACCACCAGCATTACTGCTGCCAGAAGCCTGAAGTGCCAGGGCTGGATGGAGTCCAAGGGACGACGGAAGGGATCCCATCTGGCAGGACCAGAGGAACTGGACAACAGCGACTCATTTGCAGGTGCTCTGAATGCATCCATTTTTTCCCTCTCTCACTAGCAAAAACAGTATTGTATAATACTGCAGTTTCTAATCTGTAAATAATATTCAGGATTAAAAGGAGAAATTTGCTGTCTCCAACAACAGTATGAGCAAACTCTCCATGCTTCTGCTTTCCAGTTATAGTCCAGGAAACAAAGTTTTAGTCAGAGGAAAGTTTAGTGCTGTGCAGTGAGCGTGGGAACAGGGATAAGCGAGAAAATATCTTAGAGCAACTTCTGCCCCTCTCTGCCAGCAGTCTCCTGCCTTTCTCCTGCTGCAGCTATGTCTTTATCTGTAATAAAACCCAGCTACAGAAGCTGCAGGTTTCCTCCTTCCACAGCAGCCAACAGCAGTGCTGAAATAGCCCTCAGATCATCCCTGCTCTGTGGGGAAAAACGAAGCGTTTGCCAGGAACCCTCCCTGACCTTTAGCACTGTAAAAATGAAGCTTTCCTTTTGTTCACAGTGGGGGTGGAGTGATCTCCCTCATGCCCTGCACTGCGGGGAGCACAGCGAGGGGGAGGCTCCCACCTGACTTGTGTTTTTTTGAAAGAGGGCAGCCCTGAAAAGATTAATGCTGGGCAACTGGAGCAGCGGTAAGCCAGGCTGTGAGACTGCACCATAAACCCCTGCCCACAGCTCAAGCTAGCTTATGGCCTCAGAACTGAAGCTCCAAATTAAATGTTTTCTGTGTTAGTCAGTGGGATGTCAGTTTCTATCAGAGGCAGTATAGATGTTAACTCTGATGAAGGCACAGTGATTATAACTGCAGCTTTAGTTCTAAAAGCAGAAAGATGCACAACAATATTTTGAAGATAGAGTTTGTAAATTCATGAAAAGAAATAAAATCAGTACAGCATGACAACAGACAGCAGGAAAATTAATAGCTAGTCATATATTTCTGATAAAAACGACTGTACACCGACACTCCTTTAAAGAACAGATAACTTGTTTCTCATTATTTTGTTGTTGTTTTATGCTGTCATATTGTTCAGGATGTTTGTATGAGTTATGATTTTGGTTACAGTTTAAATGCTTTCTCTTTATCTTGTGCTTTCTTTTTGTTTAGGATCCTTTAAAAATATTCCTATACTGTCTTGGTTGCCTGCTTTGTTTGTTTTTCTTCTTCAGCAGGTGAACTTTATCACTGAAAGTGATTCTCTGTGACATTCTCTCTTACTGCAACTTACAGCAGTGGCACTTCTTCCAGCATCATGGGTTTACATTTGCTACTTTGCTCTACATTTTTCCCCCCAATAATACAAACAGGGATTTTAATTATTTTTTTTTTAATTTCTTGTGAGACTTTTTTTCTGAAATCAGTATCAGGTAACTTTAGAAAGACAAAGCATTGCCCCATGAGCACAGAGAGAACAGGACAATCTCAGGTCTGTAGCCTCCATTTAAGAAGACAGCCATTCTCCAGCATCACAAGATCTTTAAGCTCCTTTTATTAAGATCTTGTTTTCTATTAGTGCCAAATTCCTTTTCCTATACTCTTCTATATACTGAAAGTTAGTTGATAAACTCGGAGCACACACAAACCGAGGAGTTGCTGTTTGTCATCTCTCACACATCTGACCTACTGCAGTCTTCATTTTCTTGGCCAGAACTGAAGCATGACTTGCCTCCTTAGCAAAGGTGTTCCTGACTAACACTTCATATGAAGCGGTAAGTTGGTAGACAATAAAACAGCCTCAGGCTATGGTTAAACTGCTGCTGGTTGGAGCAGGGAACATAGGTCTGTGAGGTGAAGAGGATGTGTAACTAACAGCACCTGTGTAATAACGCCTGCAGTAATTCCAGCTGTAAAACAGCATCAGGATGACAACAACTGTGCTAACTGAGATCAGATCTGGTGCCTGAAATTGTATGTGGCACTTAGTGAATTGGCACTAAATTTACCATTCCCACAAGAGCTAACAGGGAAATGAGCTATAAAGTCTGTGGTATTTCAAGTGGTGTGAGTGCATTGGTTCTCTCAGCTTTTGAGCATGTGATAATCAGTCCCAAGACGCTACTGTCTAATGACAGCAGTGGCTTTCACTCCTCAAAGTGACTGTGAAAGATTTGCTTTGTCCCCAAGAAGGATTCGGTTGAGTGTTGATCTGCTGGAGGGAAGGAAGGCTCTGCAGAGGGATCTGGACAGGCTGGATCGATGGCCAAGGCCAACAGTACGAGGTTTAACAAGGCCAAGTGCCAGGTCCTGCAGGGACCCACGGGAGCAGCCACAGCAGGTTGTCCCGGATCGTGTCCAGTCAGGTTTTGAATGTCTTCAGGGATGGAGACTCCACAACCTCACAGGGCAACCTGTTCCTGTGCTTGACAACCCTTACTGTAAAGATTTTTATTATTTTAATTTTTTTTTAACCTAAGAATAGGAAATTAGATACTGCTTCACGTTAATTGTGAGTTATAAACCCAGTCTATTGTGTGGCTACATATAACCTTTTTATGGCTGGGGAGGCTCAAGGAAAGCACCTGTGAAACCTAATGGCCGACTTTGCTTGAGAACCCTGTTACAGGACTGCAGGGATTCATCTCATTTACCTACTCTCAATATAGGCCCATATTCTTTTATAGCCTGTTGAAACTTGAGTGTAGGAAATGGGTTTTCTATTCAATTAAACTTCTGGAAATTTAGACAAGTATTCTGCTCCTGCTGCCTGACTAAACTGAAACCACTTGGAGCTTTATATCAGAAGTGGGAGCAGAGGTTACTCCTGTGCAGCACCATATGATAAAGATACTGTAAAGTACCTTTATATAACCTGTTCAGAAGCTTCTATGCTTTTGTCTAAAAAACAATTTGAACATCTAAAAGTCAATGCAAAAAATCCTCAGTAAAGTGGGCTTTTCCAGTGGATCAGGCTGCGTGACTAAAGCATTTGTTTATAGATGTCAGTTTGCGAGTGTGCCTGTACAGAGTACTCCAGATGTTGGCCCTTGTCTTTTTAAACTGATTTCCTCCATCCATTTATCCATTTTTTTAAATTTTTTTTTTAAGCTGCAGTTTTTTTTTCTCACAGTTACTGAAAGTGTCATAATGGAAAAACTGGAGGAATTCTTTTGCTCTCTTGCTCATTGAAAGAATGGGAGTGGAGATTTCCTTTTGTCAAAAGATAAAAGCTGTGTACAAAAGAGGTGTTCTACACTGGGAAAGATAACAACGCAGTTGCAGGAATTTCAGTAACCAGCAATATATAACAAAGCTGGTAGCTAAACAAAACACGTTCTATTAACTATGAATAAGAAACTAATTCAAATTAAAAAAAAAAGAAAAAACCACACGTACTGAGCATCAGAAAAGGAAATAATTTTTTAGCAGGCTGTATTTACTTACGACATGTTAACAATATCTTGCATTTTGGGGCCTTGTCTGAGCAGGTAAGTCTTTGTTTAGTTTATGATAGCACCGTGCTTTGCTAAGCACAGTTAAACCCAGTTCCTTTGGCACTTCCTAAAGGCAGTTAAGTAAAAGGCAATGATTTAATGCTTTTACTGATTCTGACTGAAGTTATTTTGCTGTCACTGTGAACATTCTTCCACAGACTTTTGAGGTTTTCAGCAACTTGCTTTCACATGATACTAATCTATTCACACTCCAGTAAAAAAAAAAAATTGTTGTTTTAGCAATAAGCAATAAAGTCAATAGGCATTGAAAGAGCTGATTATATCACTACAATGAGCAAAATACCACTTAAATTTACTGTTTTTCCTCAAAAATTGTATATTCCCCAAAAGATCAGTGTGAATCCAAGGCCAGGCTGGATGAGGCTTTGAGCAACCTGGTCTAGTGGAAGGTGTCGCTGCTTGTGGCAGGGAGGGGGTTGGACTCGATGCCCTTTAAAGGTCCCTTCCAACCCAAACCATTCCATGATTCTATGAATTGTTAACCAGCATATTCACTGGCGGTTCAAAGTAAAAAACTGTTCACATGATATTTCTTATTTAAGAGGATTTTTCTAGTATGAAATCTTCATTCAGAGGAAAGAGGACTTTATCATGCAAGAAATCTTACTAACCTCAAGAAGATCATGTACATGAGAATCTCTTAGTCTTATTATTTTTAAAAGTTTGTTATTCGATACATCAAATACCTTTTGTCTATTCTGCAGTCCCTGAAGACAGTATATGGCATTTGCCCTAAACCTGGTATCAGATGGAGACCAAATCTTTGAAGAAATTAAGGTCAGAATACAATTTGCAGCTTTGCATTTGTCATCATATTTACGTTTACTGTAAATATGATAAAGAAATTGACATCTTGTCCATTACTAGTTTCACCAGAACCTAAAAGTCACTATTCAAATAGACTCTCACCATCATCTTAAAAGTAAGTAGTTTTCGAGACTGATTATATGTATAAGTTTTTCTAGATTTTTATTTCTGTACACTGGCTGTCAGACATTTAATGATTAATAAGAGTATTTCTATGTTGTAGTCATAAAAGAGACTTTGATGCAGTAAAGAGTCTAACATAGCAGTCACATCAGCATATGTGGCATGTGCTGATTTAGCCCACTGAGGAGCGGTGGGGGCTTCAGATACAGGTGACATTTAGGATTGCCTTCTAGCCCAGAGAGGTAGAGGCATGTCAGAGACCCCTGGCCAAGCAACTGTGCACCATGTCACCCTCCCATGCACTGGTGGGGCACAAAGGGCTGTAAGATGACCATGGGGCACACCGGCCCCAAGCAGCAACAGGGTTCACGGTGCAGTCCTGCTTTTGGACTGTTTGGAGCAGTTGTTGGGATGACCGGCCTCTGAATGGAGCAGATGCTCCTGGGCTCTAACAGGAGAAAGGCATTTGGGGACAGTTTTGGCTGGGAATTAGGGGTCTGGAGGGCAGAAGTGGTACCATCCTTGGCACAGCAGCAGTCAATCGTTTCTATGCCCTTGGGAAGGCTTGAGCTGGCTCTGCACTAAACAATTGACCTAACAGCAGCAAGAGGAAGCCTCTACACACAAAAAAGGCAGAACAAAAATAAACAAACAAA